TGATTACAAAGTAAAGAAGTTACAAAACAAAGAGATTGAGTTAGTAAAAGTTCAATGGCGTTATCATAAGGGACCAGATGCCACATGGGAATCAGAATCGGAAATGCGGATGAAATATCCTTATCTGTTTACTTAATGGAATTCCGGGACGGAATTCTTTTAAGGAGGGAATATTGTAATATTCTGGTTGTTATTTCAAGTTTATACATATATATATATATATATATATGTACGGGTATGTATGTATGTATGTAATATATATAAGTGTTAATTTAAAATTTTGTTTTAAATAAAAGGGGGGAGGTCGGCTGGTTGAGTCGCCCACCACCTCTCCTCCTTTTTGTTGTTAGGTATATATATAGATTTTGAGAAGGAAAGGTACACACACACATACTATATTTGGAAGGCTTTTTCTCTGAAGAATCAGAAAAGTTGCTAAGAAGAGGATTCAAAAGCTTTGTTATTTGATTTCTAAAAGGTCTAGTGAGTGTATTAGAGTTTTGAATATGAATTGTTTACATACAATTTGATAAGCATTTGGAACTGAATATTATGAATTTGGCTTCATATTATGTGTGTTCTTGTTTAAACCGTTCAAGTGGTGTCCAGATTAATATCCGGATAAATAAACCGCTCATGCCTTGTCCAGAGTTTTTCTTAAACCGGCCAAGAGGTGACCGGATATCATCTAAACCGGCCAAGAGGTGACCAGATATCATCTAAACCGGCCAAGAGGTGACCGGATATCATTTAAACCGGCCAAGAGGTGATCGGATATCATTTAAACCGCTCAAGATTATGAGGTATTGTCCGGAGTTGTAAACCGGACAAAGAAGTTAACTAAATTTCAAGTGTTAAGATTGACCGGACGTCAAGTCCGGATAAAGAGATGGAAAGTTTTTGAAATGTTTTTGAGATAAAATGGCGGTGTAACCGCGAGAGAGATGAAATGGCGGTGTAACCGCGAGAGAGAGATGAAATGGCGGTGTAACCGCGAGAGAGATGAAATGGCGGTGTAACCGCGAGAGAGATATATAATGGCGGTGTAACCGCGAGAGAGATTAATGGCGGTGTAATCGCGAGAGAGATATATAATGGCGGTGTAACCGCGAGAGAGATATATAATGGCGGTGTAACCGCGAGAGAGATTAATGGCGGTGTAACCGCGAGAGAGAGATGTATTGGCGGTGTAACCGCGAGAAACATAAATATATTTATGTTTCAGAACAGGTTTGATTCTAAACTGATTGTTTGAAATGCATATTGTTTGTATGAGACTTATACACTCACTAGACCTTTTGGTCTAACGCTCAGTTATTGGACTAACCTGTTTTGCAGGTCAGCGTACTTTGCAARATAAARGCAAARGAAAAGTTTAGATGATGATATTAGTTTGTTTTTACATGTATTAAAGATGTATTTTGTTAGTCCATGTTTTGTAATAATACTATTTTTAGTATTATCAGTATGATGATGTGTATTATATGTATATGGGATTATGAGGGTTGTTACAAAAATCATTCTTTATGTATGAAGTATTGTGTATTGATGCATATTACTAAAAATTTAAGATTACAAGTAAATTGTGCGTAAATACAACCTTATTAAAGCTTCATTTTTTAATTCGTATAACTAAGTGTAGATAAATATAATCAAATACAGAATAAATATCTCATTTTAAATATAAAAAAATTTAAAATATAATTAAGATAATTATTGAGTTTTAACAAAATCATTATCTTTATAAAATTTTATCGTTAAGTCAAAAATAAATTACTTCACTAAATCGTAAAAACATTATATTTCTAAAAACGACATAACTCGTATTATATCAACAGAGAAAAAAAAACAAAACGAAGCATTAAAATGAAGATATATCTCGCTACATTGTACGAGTACCTATATGCTTTTAGTATAACTAGAAGAGTCCTCGCGCAATGCAGCGAGACACATCTCGATTTTAATGTTCTATTTTATTATTTGTCTCTGTCGATATTATAATATGATTTTATGTGTTTTTAAGAAAACAATAATGATTTTATCTTTGAATAAAATATAA